GGGTAAGACAGTCCTGCAAGTGAACTCAGTAATTAAAAATTGTTTAAGCATATATTTACTTGCACTATTTTGCTATATATTGAATTTACTTGCTGATTTATTTGTTGTTGTATTGATAAGTGTGGTCTTTCCATTTTAGTGGCATTCTTGCAGTATTCGTAAGTCTCCTGAGGAAGCCAAAATTGTGCCGAAACACGTAGAGCTGAATTATACTGCAAAGAGTACCTGAAATAAAATAAAATAAATAAAAAATAAAATAGTAAGTGCATGCTTTCCCCTGCTGCCTGCACTAAACAAGGAACCTCTCCCTCCCTGAAGAAAACCTAAAGGAAAGATATCACTGTGAAGAGCTGAGGGGTCATTTTAGCTTCTTCCTCCTCCTCTGGAATGACCTGAAGTCAAAATCTGGTGGCAGGGGAGGGGCTGGAGCATGGAAATATGATGATTGGCTAAGACTTAGCAAGTGCCTGCACAGATCACTCCCTCCCTATGCTGGCCCTGCACTGGAATGACAGCATCTTGCATCTCCCTGCTGTGCTATGAGTTCTGCCGACTTTACAGACAGCTTACTGTGTGCACACACAGAGGTGGGATAAGGGGTGGTAGCGCTGAAAGCTTCAGAAGCCAGGTCCGCCTGCAGTCATTATGGCAAGGAGGAGACCCTGGCAAGACTGCAAACTATGAACTTCTTCCCCGGAGGCACTCAGGCTGGTGGCTGATGGGGGTGCTACAAGGGTGCTATAAACATTTTTGGAAGTGCTATAGCACCCCTAAGCACACACCTGGCACCGCCCCTGGGAACAAATATCCAACCCAGTGTCCAGACCTTGTTGGATATTAGCAGGATGTTCATGAGTTCTTATAATTAAGGCTTGGCATAACTCCAGCCAGGATGGAGGTAAGCTCCTGTTCGAAGACAGTGCTCTAGTCAAGGGAATGGCACTCCATGTTGGAGGAGAGATTCTGTGTCCAAAAGGCTGAGAGAGAGTCTGGGAGACCAATGGAGCTATGATAACTTGGCAAGTCCAGGAGACTAAGGGAATCTGTAAGTCTCAGAGGAATGAGAGACCCTGGGTTTTCAGGAGAAGCCCTATTGAGAAGCCAGGAGTGGCCTGTACATCAGGGAGCTATGACTACAGGGTCAGTGAGCCAGGAGAGCTGGGTGACACTGTATGAGGGACCAGAGACAAGAGCAGCACTGTTAAAGAGGCAGCGTGACATTTTCTGTTACCTGTATTGCTGTGTGTAATGGCTAAAAAACTGATGTAAAGGACTTCGCTTTGACTTCTGTTTGAACAAAGGTGGGCTGGTAAGCCCTAAAAACAGATTGGACTGGTGTGGGCTCACTAATAATGTATCTACCACTAAACTAAACTATATATATATATATATGTATATAATATATATATATATATATATGTGTGTGTCTTTTTTGTGTCTGACAAAGCTCAATGTTCTGAAAGTGCTTTTATATGGGCTATTCAATGTCCTCTTCTGTTGGCAAAAAAACAAGATTTGAATTGTTCATTGGTAGCATCCCTGTATTTTTACTTCCATGGATTTTCAAGTTCAACGGAGCCAGACGAGGCGGACTGACCATTTGGAAACTCGGGCACTGCCCGAGGGCCCGGGGTCAGTAGGGGGCCCCATGAGATGCCCCTGGTACCTTTTTCATAGGCTTTTTTGAGTTTGGGTAAGGACACACGGGCCCCATGATCCCCTATTGCCCGGGGGCCCCATGAGTTGTCAGTCCGCCCCTGGAGCCAGAGTGACTACAGGAGCAGTGCTCTATGTGGCTGTGGCTATGCATCCCCATACACCTGCATGGCTGCTCTTTTGCGCACAGTGCAAACTGGACATGCTGTCACTATGGTTAAGAAAAAGCCCAAAAACAGGTATGTGATATTTTTCTATTTTATATGTATTTTTTTTCTCCACTAGACCACCAGGGAGTTTTAATGGAAATGTTTCACATTGGGGCACTGTGTTACAATCTTTGAACTTATGGAGTTGTGACTAATTGGGGCACTATGCTAAATATACTAATATTATATCCTGATCATTTTTTACATTGCATTGTATTATATGAGGTATCAAAAAGTTTTGAGACTAGTTTTTTAACTTACCAACAAATGGCAGCACAAGGCTGCATGCACAGTCACAAGGAGCACCAACCTTCATAAGTCAATGTGCCAAAAGACATTGTCCTGTGTACATTGCAACTGTGCATCCTGTGCAACTGGTGCTATTCTGACCATGTGTATCACCACATCTGCTATTTGATCATGGACAGTAAGTTAGAATAAAGAGCAAACTTGAAATTCTGTGTGAAACTTGGAAAATCTGCATCATTTGACATGATTCGGCAAGTTTATGGCGATGTTGCAATGAGTCGTTTGAGGTGTTTTGAGTAGCACACACGATTCAAGAGCTGAAGAACATCACTGAAAGACAGGAGATCAGGAAGACCTTCAACAAGCTTAACTTCAGAAATGTTGAAACCATTCAGCAACTTGTGCACGTTGATCATCGGAGAACAATCCACAACATTACTGCCATTGTTGGTGTGTCATGCGGAACAGTCCAGGCAATCATCACGTGTGATTTGAACATGCGCCATGTTGCTGCAAAGTTCATCCCTAGGCCGCTAACCCAGGAGCAGAAGGAACACCATGTCAAAGTCTGCCAAGAACTCCATCAACGTGCTGTGGATGACTCATCCTTCATGTTGAGGATCATTGCCGGTGACGAAACTTGGGTGTGCGGGTTTCCTGTAGAAATTCACATTTACTCTTTGTTGTATCTTGCTGTCCATGATGAAATAGCAGATGTGGTAACACACATGGTCAGAATAACACCAGTTGCACAGCTCCCGATGTACACAGGACGATGTCTTTTGGCACACTGACTTATGAAGGTTGGTGCTCCCCGTGACTGTGCATGCAGCCTTGTGCTGCAATCTGGTGGAGTGTTACAAAACTAGCCTCGAAACGTTTTAATACCACCTCATATTGTTGGAGCCACAATATTGTGGTTTCTATTATAGTAGAATGTAAGCTCTGGTGTACTTTTGCAGTGGCCAATCTGGGTTTTGTATTGTAAAGCGACATTTTTAATAGTTTGTTAGCTAGGTTCTCTTATTTCCTATAGTATCAGTCTTTTTTGAATTGTCACATCCATATATTTTATTGTAAAGCAGTGCATATACTGCACTGTGCTTTACAATATAGTGCTATATCAATGCCATAAATACTAATTTGGGTTTTTTAAAAAAGAGAGTGAAATGTGGCTTGGAAAGAAGGTGATGTTTAGGAGGTGGGGCACCTCTACTGAGACAAGAAAGTTCACTGTCCTGTATATTTTTCTATTTTTACTTCATAGGAGGTCTGGATCTGATCAGTGGAGATTTGGTTTAGGTCTCCCACACTGCTCTGCAACAACAGATCTCTTTTAATAGCAATCCGATGCTGGCTGCATTCAGCCAGCAATAGATCACTGTATCAGGAAGAGCTAGACAAAGAGGCTCTGTCTGAGCCCCCTGCAATCAAGGGAAGTGCCATGACATCACTACACTCCCAATGTAGAAACAATATGGAAACATTGCCTTTACATTGTACTATACAAACAGCTCCCATGGATCGATCTGTAGAAGGATCCTAAGCCCTGGAACTCCTCGACTTAATGCCATGTCCTGGCAGCCAGTGGTCCCAGTGCTAGCTGCTGGTAGGACCTACAGGAGTCCAGATGCCATTTTAAAACAGTGCTGGTTCAGATATTAACTGTCCCTGTGATGTTTTAAAATGGTACCCAGGACTCAAGAAGTTAATTCTGTGGATCATTCCAATTGTCAGGTAAGATGTAAGAAAATCTCAATATTGCATATGAAATTTATGCATTTGGAGAGTTGAAACAGTAAAGAGATTAAACATTTGGCAACGTGAAAACATTTATGTTTGTTTCTTTCTTGTTGTAAGCATGTCACATTCCAGATTTTACTCATTTACACCTCTTTGAAATCCGCATGCTAAGATGGAAAAAAAACTTGTTTTCATACCATCTGAGAGCTACATTGAACCATAAACCTGTGATATTCACTCTTAACTCAGTCTAAAAATATAACTAAGCATTCAGTCTTATTATGGCAAATAGCAAAGTTCAGTATAGCAACCATATTGTGGTGACTGCTCTGAAAAGATGAAAAGAGAAATCATTGTGTTTGGCAGCTTTTATGGTGGGTACAGTTTAATATCATTAATGGTATGTCAGGGCAAAAAAACATATGCAGCACATCCCTTCAATGAATTTCCCTATGTTTTATGCTTTTAAACACCCTACGCATACAGAAAATACCAGCACTGTCAGGAACCCAGCACTTCAAGTCCTGTTGTAGGCTGACAACAGGACTTGAGTATTTTTGTGGACAGTCTGTCCTGATGAGTTTTTCTTAACCACTAGCCTACAGGACACTTATACCCCCTTCCTACTCAGGCCAATTTCCAGCTTTCAGCGCAGTTGCACTTGAATGACAATTGCGCGGTCATGCAACACTGTACCCATATGAAATTTTTATCATTTTTTTGTGACAGATAGAGCTTTATTTTGGTGGTATTTGATCACCTCTGGGTTTTTTTTATTTTTTCTTAAACAAACCAAAAACCACTGAAAATTAAAAAAAAAAAAAGTTTTTTCTTAGTTTTTGTTATAAAATTTTGTAAATAAGTGATTTTTCTCCTTCACTGATGTGCGCTAATGAGTCTGCACTGATGGGCACTGATAGGCTGCACTGATGGACACTGATAGGGGGCACTGATGAGGAGGCACTGGTAGGTGGCACTGATGGGCATAGACAGGCATCACTGATGGACACTGAAAGGCAGCACACATATAAGGCACTGATATGTGGCACTGATAGGCTGCACTGACTGGCACTGATAGGCGACGCTGACTGGCACTGTTAGGTGGAACTGACTGGCACTGTTAGGCAGCACTGATAGGCAGCACTGATGGGCACTGACAGGCAGCACTGATGCACACTGATAGGTGGCACTGATTGGCAGCACTGATAGGTGGCACTGATGGGTGACACTGAGTGGCAGCTCAGATGGGCACTGATATGTGGCACTGATGGGCACTGAAATGTGGCACTGATGGGCACTGGCAGGTGGCATGGATGAGCACTGAGAGCTGGCACTGATGGACACTGACAGGTGGCGCTGCTGGGGCTACACAGATCATGAGGGCACACTGATCATCAGTGCTCTGATCTGTGTACATGTCCCCTCCGAGGAATGCCGATTATGGGCTCTCCTCTCCTCACAAGCTGTCAGCGTGACCGGCACATGACTGAGCCGACATCTTCCGCTCTTTCCGTTGATCGGTGATCCGCTGTGTCCGAGGGACACAGTGCACTGCCGATCGCCGCGCTGCGCGCTCCTGGAGCCGCGCATACACGGTTATAATGGGAGGATGTCATATGACGTCCTCCCAGAATGAGAGAACCGCCTTGCATCCGTCATTTTACTATATGGCGGGCGGGAGGCGGTTAAATTAATGAAACCCACCTCTTATCATATTCTCTCCAACATAGACACTAAGTATTCTGTAGTCCCATTATAGGAACCCAAAAAGCTGATCAGACTACTTAACAAACCACAGGATGTGAACATTGGATAACACCTTTACATGACAGAGGTGCTTTTTCCAAATTTTTTTGAGCGGTCAGCTGTGATTGACTGCATATAGTTTTTTTCCCTGCATGCATGGATTTGTGCAATTGTGAACACACACAAAAAAAAAATGTGGTAAACACTCCTTTTTAAAAGCATATTGATTGCCTGAACTAAAACATTGAAAACTGCACATGATCGTGGGGCAATAAAGTATATGTTTAGCAAAAGTTTTTCTTTTAGTTTTGGAGATAACAAATGGTTTAAACCAGTCCTCAAACTTTTTAAACAGGGGGCCAGTTCACTGTCACTCAGACCGTTGGAGGGCCAGACTATAGTTTAAAAAAAAAAAACTGAACAAATGCGGACACAGTACAGGAGATGACCAGAGACTGCGGACATACAACGGCAGCGGGAATACTGGGCCGGCCGCTCCATAAAACGCACAGACATTTCCCCCCAAGTGTGTCTTATGGAGCGAAATAGTGCCCCATCATTGGTGTCAGTGGGAGGAAATGTGCCCCATCATTGGTGTCAATGGGAAGAAACGTGCCCCATCATTGGTGTCAGTGGGAGGAATAGTGCCCCATCATTGGTGTCAGTGGGAAGAATCGTGCCCCATCATTAGTGTCAGTGGGAGAAATAGTGCCCCATCATTGGTGTCAGTGGGAAGAAACGTGCCCCATCATTGGTGTCAGTGGGAAGAAACGTGCCCCATCATTGCTGTCAGTGGGAGGAATAGTGCCCCATCATTAATGTCAGTGGGGGGAGGAATAGTGCCCCATTGTTGGTGTCAGTGGGGGGAAGAATAGTGCCCCATCGTTGGTATCAGTGTTGGGGGGGAATAGTGCCCCATCATTGGTGTCAGTGGGGGAAGGGGATAGTGTCCCAACATTGGTGTCAGTGGGAGGAATAGTGTCCCATCATTGGTTTCAGTGGGAGGAATAGTGCCCCATCTTTGGTGCCAGTGGGAGGAATAGTACGTCATTGGTGTCAGTGGGGGGGAATAGTGCCCCGTCATTGGTGGCAGTGGGGGGGGGGGATAGTGTCCCAACATTGGTGTCAGTGGGAGGAATAGTACCCCATCATTGGTGTCAGTGGGGGAAGGAACAGTGGTCAATCGCTGGTGTCAGTGGGGGGTGGAATAGTGCCCCATCGTTGGTGTCAGTGGGGGGGAGGAATAGTGCTCCATCGTTGGTGTCAGTGGGGGGAGGAATAGTGCCCCATCATTGGTGTCAGTGGGAGGAATAATGCACCATCATTAGTATCAGTGACACCTATGATGGGGCACTATTCCTCCCACTGACAGCAATGACACTTAACTTGCTGACCCCTGCTCCAGCATGGTGCTGCTGCAGCCAACATACCTGGTTGCAGAAGCACCATCTGCACGGCACACTTACCTGTCAGCTGTCCTTCTTCACTCCGGCCTCTCCCTCACTCGATGTTCGTGGGTTGCTCGGCTCCGCCTCCTCGCAGGTGATTGGCCGCCTGTGTGCCTTTCCTGAGCTACAGTTCTGGCGCCCAATCACCGGTGAGGAGGCGGAGCCGAGCGGCAGAGCGAACATCGAGTGAGGGAGTGGCCAGAGTGAATGAAGGAGCAGCGCTTCCTGGACTGGATCGTTGTGGGACTGGGACACGGAGCCACGTAAGAAACAGCAGCCCCCTGCCCGCCCCTGTACTTAGTGTCCCTTTCTCGCGGCAAATACGCTCCTGCTGGCGGGCCGGATAAATGTCCTCGGTGGGCCACATGTGGCCCGTGGGCCGTAGTTTGAGGACCCCTGGTTTAAACACATCAATTACAAGAAATATCCAGCACACTGCCCTTGTATCTCAAAAATTTACTGGCGTTAAAATGCAAAAACAGTAACAAAGAAAAGATATCAGGACACATAAGCAGCTGATTTGCTAAAGACAAATAGGATGTCCACTTTGCAAGGGATTTTTCTTAGTTTAGTCAGTGTTGTGAAAATTCACTTTGCAATGATTTTTCAGGGCCAAGAAGGACCACTTTCTGAAGGTGAAAGCAGGGTGTCTATAACATTGCTGTTGTCTTGAGAAAGGGGTCGTGAAACATCAGTGGATACTATGTGCCTTCTTATCTTTTTTATGTGACCACTTTTGCATTTTAGCCTCAATAAATTTGTTAGTACATGGGTGATGCGCTGACTACTTATTGTAACTGAGCTAGAATATGGTGTCACCATAAGCTGCACACTCCAGCATTGGGTATATAGATATGACTCTGGATGGACTGGATGGTTTTCTAATTTAATTGCCTCCCATCCGGCTTATTGTAAAATGACAGCCGAGTGGTAACTCTCCCATCCTGGGTGTATGTCATATGACATCTTCCTAGTCACGTACCTCCAATGACAGATCATTGTCCCGGGCCAATCCTGGTATTATGTGATTGCTGTGACCAATCACAGCAATCACATGATAGCTGTACACAATGAATGGCTTGCATTCATAGCCATTCATTGTGTATTTTTGTAATGATCTCTGTGATTAGTCACAGTGATCACATGGTACAGACCAGGCGATTCACACTGCATCTGTACCATCATGTGAATCAATGAATGGCTGTAAACAAATGAATGTTATTCATAAGAATGATTTCTTATAACAATGATCATCACTGGTATAAGCAATCGTATAAAAAAAAATTCTGACCACTTCCCCAGAGTAGTGCAGTATCACCATGGCAATATTGCACTGCTCTAGTCACAGTATGTAAAAAAAAAAATTAAAAAGAAAAAAAAAGTAAAAAAAATGGAAATATATATATATATATATATATATATTTATAAATACTGTCACCAGTCAGTATCCCTGATCATCATCACATGTGATAAATCTATACAGCTGTGGTAACAGTATGTGAACAAAAACACATTTTATTTCATTTCTTCATTTTCCAAAAAAAAGTGACAAAATTACAACTTCAAAGAACTCACCATGACTGTTACTAAATACCTCAGACTGTCTACTTTCCAAAGAGGGGTCACTAGGGGGTATTTGTGCTGCCTTAACATTTTAGGGCCTAAAGAAACTAGATAGAAGGCAAAAAAATCCTCCTGCGCTGAGGAAGGAAGTGAACCCTACTAAATACAGTAGCTGCTAACACTCTTTGCTGATACCCAACCAGTATTTAGATAATAATAAAAAATTAGTGTAGCGCTTCTAAATAATAAATAATATAAATAAACATACAAATATTGTGCAAAAAACACTCAAAGTGCCTCAGTCACCTAAGTGACTAGTGAAGGTGATAACAATGTAAAAAAATATAAATGAATAAACATATATAAATGTGACAACTGAATATTGTGTAACGGTCACCTCAGTGACCTGAAAACGTGACAAATCAAGACCCTTTATAATATAGGAATAAAAGCAAAAAACGTGATAGTGCTACTTCAACTCATATATAAATATACTAAATAATCCAATAGTCCATACATAGATAAATGAGTGTTTCCATATAAACATGCAATGTGCTAAGTGCTTAAAATTCGTGAGAGTGTCAGCACACTTCTTTCACTCTGGCTGCAGTGCCTCCTCACCTCCTTTATGCGACTCCAAAGGGCCAAAAAACCTTTAGGATCACCCTGGATCCTTCTCAATACCAGCTGATGTCAATCCTCCTCAGTGTTTCTCCAATATCTTCTCCTGGTTCCTCTGAGGTGCCATTGTCTAGCCTGTACATTTCTTTGCAGACCCCTTCCTCATGTGTGGGTGTACCGCAAGCTTGCGGGACTTCCTAGGTGTGCCAAGATGGCGTCCAACACAGGAAGTGCGTCACCACGTACCGGAAGCTGCGTATTGGCGTACCTATGCGTTACGTCACTGTGTCTCGTGACTTCTTCAGAGGAACCAGGAGAAGATATTGGAGAAACACTCCAAGTATACTCTCGCCAAATGAGGCAGGGCACTGTCGGGCACCAGGAAGAACCCAGGACCAACTGCACTAGCATAAGGTCTGACAATGGGTCCAAGGATTTCATCCTAATACCTAATGGCAGTCAAGGTGCCATTGTCTAGCCTGTAGAAGTCTGTGTGTCCCAATGACCCACCACCAAAACGATCATGCTGAATGATGTTACAGGCAACATAATGTTCTCCATGGCATCTCCAGACCCTTTCACGTCTGTTACATGTGCTCAGGGTGAACCTGCTCTCATCTGTGAAAATCGGATCTGCCAATTCTGGTGTTCGATGGCAAATGCCAATCAAGCTCTATGGTGCCGGGCAGTGAGAACAGGCCTACTAGAGGATGTTGGGCCCTCAGACCACCCTCATGAAGTCTGTTTCTGATTGTTTGGCCAGAGACATTCACACCAGTGGCCTGCTGGAGATCATTTTGTAGGGCTCTGGCAGTACTCATCCTGTTCATGCTTGTACAAAGGAGAAGATACCAATACAGCTGATGGGTTAAGGACCTTCTACTGCCCTGTTCAGCTCTCCTAGAGTAACTGCCTATCTTCTGGAATTTCCTCCATGCTCTTGAGTCTGTGTCGGGATACACAGCAAGCCTTCTATCAATGGCACGTATTGATGTGCCATCCTGCAGGAGTTGGACTGCCTGTGCAACCTCTGTAGGGTCCAGGTATCGCCTCATGCTAACAGTAGTGACACTGACCCTAGCAAATGCAAAACTAATGAAAAACAGTCGGAAAAGATGAGTAGGAAAAAAAATGTCAGTGGCCTCCACCTGTAAAACAATTCCTGTTTGGGGG